TTGTCATCCCTTGTTTTTATCAGTTATTCTGTCACAACGACTAAAGGTCTAATACAAGGTACAATATTAATCATGGGATTGTTTTTAAAAATTTACATTTCTTTAAAAATCTTCATGAACCCTTTCAATATAAAAGCACCAGACTTACACTGTTTGGTATAAAATAACTATCACTGAATGATTCAAAGGTCTAAGTCAGGCTGGTGAGTTAGTGGAGAAAGGTGCTTGTTGTACAAGCCTAAAGATGAGTCAATCCCTAGAACCCATGGTAGAGAACCAACTCATGATAGTTGTCCTCTGATCTCACATGCATGAGGTAGGGTGTGTGTGTGTGTGTGTGTGTGTGTGTGTGTGTGTGTGTACATACAATAAATAGGTCTAAATTTACATATTGTCTTGGTATCCACACAATATTTAAGTATTTTGACAGTTTTTCAAGAAGATACACTACAGACTCAGCAGTAAACCCAAAGGTGAACCATTTGATTTTTATATAACATGTGAAATGATCTGCAGTGTAACTACTACCCTATGTTGGCCAAGTTACTTAGAATATGTGGCCCTCCTGAGTAGAATGTTCTGTGGAAACAACAGTATAAAGACAGAATTTTGTGAGGAAAATCTGTTTCCCTTTCAACTCAGTTTTTTTTTTCTTGCTAATAGTTCAGGCTTCTTCTTCTTTTTTTTAAAAGAAAAAATAGCCTAAGGTTCCAACCAGTTGAGCTGCTGCCACCTTCACATTAAACTTTAATAAGCTAAGCTTTTTAAGCCACATAAAAATTTCATCAAGCATTTCTCCACCTTAGGGAAAACGGAAGGAGGAAAAAAGGTCAGAACATCACTTTCCACTAGAGTGTCGTTTGGAGAGGGATGCTTTGAAAGGAGCCGCAACTAATGCTAGGAAATGAGTGCCCTTTGTGGGTGGTGCCAGATGTAAGTTTTTTACTCCTTCATCACATGCAGGCCCTACCGAGGGTGCTAATTAATGCATGATCATCAAATACCAGGCTCCTAGGACAACCATGAGCGTCTCAAAGGTCTTTGGATGTGTCCCATTCAGCTCTAATATTATCACTGGTTTTCTGATTAAAATGTTTCCAGAAGTACTCCTGATTATTCTACTTTTGGTGTTCCATATGGCACTTAATAATATTTATTATTCACATGGTATTTAATAATAATAAACCCAAATCTTCATTTTTTTAAAAAAAAGCCAGCACTGATTATCATTCCAGGGAAAGAGGAAGGTGCCTAGCACCTTGGCCTTGAATGGACACTGGGTGCTGAACTCTTTGGGCTCCCTTACTGCCCACCTCACTGACTCCTAACAATGTGCTGCATAAATAAATCTACAGGTCAGAACTGCCTACAGAATCAGCCTGATTGTCCTAACCAAAATACCTGGAAAAGAGGTACTCATGTCGGAAAACCTCCAGAGCATCCTCTATTTTAGTCAAATGCCAAAGAGAAAACTTTACTCTTCCCCCCAATCTGGCACTACTTGCACTCAGTGGAAAGGTGATCTCCCAACCCTGGCTGCTCACAGGAACAAGCTGAGAACACTGATCTGACATCTCTAGTACATGTCCCCAATGGCACCATGATTAACCACACCTGGGGCCATAAGCCAGTCTAAGAATGAGAAAAGAACTGAAAACAGTTTTTTTTCTGATCATAACACAAGCAAATAGGCATTGTTAGCATGACTTCACAGCAGACTCTCGAAACCACTGGAAAAGAAGCACTTCTTAATATACAGGCTGAAGAAGAAGTGTCAAACGAAACAGCATACAGGGCTGGGTGTGCTGGTGCATGGCTGCCATCCCAGCACGTGGGGCCGGAGGCAGGAAAATATAGAACTGAATGAAAGCACAAGCCAAAATCTGTGAGGCAGAGCTTTAACTTTAGCACTTCTTCAGAAGTGTTGAGAGAAATTTATAGCACAAAATACTTGCATTAGAAGAGAAACAGTTTCAGACAAATGATCTGTAGACTGGACTCTAAAATGTAATAAGTACCTTAAACATTTAGAAGCAAAGAGAAAATATTTGTGAGACAAAGAACTCTTTACAACTGAAACCAAAAGTACAATTTTAAGGGAATATACACAAATGAAACTTTTAAAATTAAAGTTAGAAAACCCCCAACAATTTTTTTCAAGACTGTCAAAGTGGTTGAACAGACAAACTGTAGAGTAGGAGGAAAGCATCTGCAAAGCACATGTTTGACAAAGCAATCCCTGTCTACATACACAGAGAGTCTAAAAACCAGACAGCAATACCCGTCTACATACACAGAGAGTCTAAAAACCAGACAGCAATACCCGTCTACATACATACAGAGTCTAAAAACCAGACAGCAATACCCGTCTACATACATACAGAGTCTAAAAACCAGACAGCAATACCCGTCTACATACATACAGAGTCTAAAAACCAGACAGCAATACCCCGTCTACATACACAGAGAGTCTAAAAACCAGACAGCAATACCCGTCTACATACACAGAGAGTCTAAAAACCAGACAGCAATACCCGTCTACATACATAGAGAGTCTAAAAACCAGACAGCAATACCCGTCTACATACATACAGAGTCTAAAAACCAGACAGCAATACCCGTCTACATACATAGAGAGTCTAAAAACCAGGCAGCAATACCCGTCTACATACATAGAGAGTCTAAAAACCAGGCAGCAAGGGGCTCTCAAGTTTTCTGGAAGAGCAGCCAGTGCTCTTAACCACTTGAGTTTGATTCCTAGCACCCATATGGTGGTTCCATCTGACTGTAACTGCAGTTCCAGAATCTGACCTCTCTGGCCTCCTGTGGCACTGTATGCATGTGGTGAACAGACATGTGTCTTAGCAAACATACAAACATAAAGAAACAAAATGTCAAAAAATTAAAAAGAATCCTCAACAGTAAAAGACAAACAATTCAGGAAGAAAATGGGAAAGAGACTTAAGTAGACCTTTCTCTGAAGCACTTGAAAAGACCATCAGGGTGGTGAGAGGGCTGTCAGCCAGTGCCTGATGAGAACCTGCATCTGCACTTCAGCATTCACAAACCTGGGTGCAGCGGGACACATATCTAACTCCAGCACACTCAATTCTTACTTCTGGCTTTCACATATGTGTACATGTGTTTACACAGAACAATCACAAATGCACACACACAAGATGCTCAATTATGACCACATTATAATAACAAAAGAAATGTTATTGCACCAAATTCTGTCAGACATGGAAGAATTGGACTAGGCACACATTGCCAGCAGGAATGTAAAATGATGAAGCCAATTTGGAAAAGGCCATTAAAAAAATACTACACTATTCTCCAGGCAGTAGTTGCATACTCCTTTAATTCTAGCACTTGGAAGGCAGACACAGGCTGATTTCTGTGAGTTTGAGGCCAGTCTGGTCTACAGAATGAGTTTTAGGACAGCCAGGGCTACACAGAGAAATCCTGTCTCAAAAAAACCAACGAGAAAAAAACCTAAATATTTACTTACATGTAAATTGTGTTCAGAAGTTATATTTTTATTTCAGGGAAATGAAAACTCATGGTCAGACAAAAATGTGTACGTGAATATTCATAGCTGTTTTATTACTCTGTCAAACTGAAAATAACTCAGCTATCCTTTAATGAGTGGATGGCTAAGTAAATTATAGTACATCCACACGTATGGAAAACTATTCACCAATAAAAAAAGAGTTACTGATGTACCCAGCTTGTTAAGGACTTCAAGGGAACTATGCTGACCAAAGATGAAGAAACCTAGGTCTTAAAGTATACACAACATTCTTTTTTGGTTTTGTTTTTATTTTTCAAGACAGGGTTTCTCTGCATGGCTCTGGCTGTTCTGGAACTAGTTCTCTGTAGACTAGGCTGGCCTCAAAGTTACAGAGATCCGCCTGCCTCTGCCTCCCAAGTGCACACACCACTACCACCTGGCTACACAACATTCTTGAAATGACAACACCAGAGATGGGGAACAGGTTAGTAGTGGTGAAGGATTAGGGAGTCTCTGGTTATGAGACAACAGATGACCTCTTCCTTACAGCTTGACTGCGGTAAGCTCATTGGTTAGCATGTGATGGAGTTGACAGAAGAACACAAGCACATGCAGGAGCACAAACCACACAGGACAGCTGGAAGACATCAGTGCACTCAGCAACACAGTGGACCTGGGCTGCGGTGTTACTATGGTTAGGCAAGATGCCATGACTGAAGAAATGGATCTCTATTGCTTCTGACAAATCAGAGCAAGGCTACCATTACCCTAACACTTAAAAAGAGCTGGCAATGCTGACAAAATGCAGGCAACCTGGATGAAACCATGAGACATGTACAAAACACTGGACCCGTGTCTCCTGAGATACCAGTGTCCAGAAACAGTATAAAAAGACAGCACAACTGAAGGTCACCCACGTTCTGACCTAACCAACCTGGAATGTTCTTTGCTATCAAGGACACATCTGAGCAGTGCTGGAGAGTCTGAGAGAGCCTATAGGTTAAGAAATGTATCAAGCAGGGTGGTAGTGGCACATGCCTTTAATCCCAGCACTTGGGAGGCAGAGGCAGGTGCATTTCTGTGAGTTCAAGGTTAACCTGGTCTACAGAGCGAGTTCTAGAACAGGCTCTAAAGCTACAGAGAAACCCTGTGTGTGTGTGGTGGTGGGGACAGAAGAAATACATAAAAAGTTCATTTACTGACTTTGATAGTCATACTGTAGTTATAGGAAACCTTGTTTTCTTTCTTTCCTTTCTTCTTTTTTTAAAACTGAAATGGAGTTTATCTCAGACTGGCCTGCAACTCAATGTGTAGCCCAGCTGGCCTCAAACTCTAAGTGCAGGGATTACAGGTGTGCACCACCATCCCTGACACATTTTTATTTTATTTTATTTTTGTTTTTAAATACGTTATATAAAGAAGTATTTAAGCTGTATGATCACAGGATTCTCATGGATATGGCTAGTTAGAGTACTGGTTAGCTTACCTGGTTCCTGTCACGAGCATTTGTGTACCTGATCTTCTGAATGAAGTAGAATATGAGCCACGCTGAAGAAATAATCATCAAAACAATAAAGGATATTGACACGAAGACTAGAGAGCCACGGCTGAAGTTCTTTGGCGGCATTCGAGTTCCAACAGCTATTGTCATTTGTACAGAGATGTTTTTCTCCAGATAACTCAAAATATCCTTACCCCTCAATTCTGTTATCATGACAGCAATAATATCTCCCGTGCCTGTAATGTAAAACAAATACACAGACTCAAGCGACATCTGAAATTCATAGAAACATCAAATAAATATACATATATGTTCCCTAGAGAAATTACCACAATCTCTGCTATTGAGAAAGGTTTGCAGATTCCACTGGTCAGATGATAGAGGCTGCAACTGTGCACACTGACAGGGATGGGAACATATGCAGTATTCCAAAAAAACAGGTAAGGCATGTAACAACTGTAGCCTTAACATGCATGAACAGCCTTGCAGCTGCATTGAGAAACATTAGGAAGCCAGTCACCTGTGACTTAATCAGGGTGGGTCTATAGTATAAATCCTTTCTACAGCAAACGATCTTGAGAAAAGTGCTGTCACAGTATAAAAAGTGGCTCTTGCACTAGCCATCTAACATGCTTTGCTGAGCAGCAACTGTGTGTAGAACTAGTTAGTGCAGGGAACAGTGGGAAGCATGTATCTTAGGATACATGGCTACTTTAACAAAGTGCCAAATGGCAACATCTTTTACTGGTAACATTTGAAAAGAACTTTGGTCTTCTGTCTAGAGCTAACTGGAGTAAAGCTCCTTCCAGAGTCCTTCTGGATCTCAAACTCACACTTTTTCCTACCCAAGTTGGAGACAGCATCTCTTGTTGCCCAGGCTAGCCTCAAACTTGAATATTTTGTCTCAGTCTCCCACCATGTCTAACCATGCTCAATGCACTCAAATCCTCTAGGCAGGTCCAAGTTTCAAACTTCTGGATTAGTACCCAGAATGGAACCCAAAGTCTTCAGCTTCCAGTAGCTATTCAGAGATCTGTCCACAGACACAAACTATGTAAATTAATCACAAGGAAGGTTCAGTGGTTTTTCTAAGTCCTTTTCCTATGTGGTTCCCAGGGGGCAGTAATAAGTCAAAACAAGGAGCTACTCTCCAAGGATAGCATGGATCCCTATTCCTTTTGTCCTCTATAGGGAGCAGCTTTCCACTTTATTTTAAGGAGGCAGGGAAACTTCTCTACCACATGCAACTGTCAGCAGCTGTCCTTTTCTATGGGAAAGTTAAGTGTGGCAACATGTAACTTTCATAATCTATCTTTTCTGAAGAACCTGGAGAAAGATTGGAGGTTAGGCCTCCCATTTTATTTTGGGAAAGAGAAAATTATAACTACTTATGTGAATATGAAGAAGGGTTGTGCATCCAAGTATAAAATACCCCTAAAAACGAGCAAGCAGAGTACCAAAAAACTTGACCTTTTGAAGGCTCTTTCAATGAATATTAAAAAAAATTATTTGGTTTTTTATGTTTTGCTATGTTTAGCAGTTGAAATGACATGTAACAGAAACTCAGTAACAACAGTTTCAAGAAAAATGTACCCCAATGGAATACATATTCATGTAGTATTGTATTCAAAACCATTTTATCAGAGTTGCAGTTTATAAGTTTTTTTGGCTTAAAAAATCTATAAACAAAAACAAAAGTGAAAAATTAAAATTAGCATTATTAAGTTACTACATGCCTCTGGTCAGTAAGTTAAAAAGAAATCATGAAATAATGCTAAAACAGTTTAAATTTCCATTTAGAAACCTTAAGTTTGTGCTTTTACAATGTTGATCAACAGGCATGATCTGTGGTGTAGGATACCAGGTATGGCTATAAAGTAACTGAGACGGATCCCACAAACGACATATGACAATCAGTCTCATTGCTTTATAATCACACCAAGTACAATTGGTTTTAGAAATCAGTTCTGAGGCTCCCTCTTGAAGACTCAAGCTGGAAAAGTAGTGGGGAAAGCTGCACAGGTAGCCAAGGGAACCAATCCAACAATTTCCTTAACCGAACACTAAATGGACGAGTCAACTAATCTCAACAGAAGAGCTGTTTGGGAAAGAAACATTTAATTAGTTCAAAACCAGTCAATATTCATTGGGCACAGATCACAATCAAGGTTCTATTTCACTTATTTTAATCTTTAGTTTCCTTAACTTCTTAAGGGATAAGGAATTACCTGATCTTAACCGACATGAAAAGTGTGTCTGTCTATTCTCAGGAGTGCAAGAATGAATGAATCTTGGTATAGCCTTACCCTAGCACATGGAAGAGACTGGGAAGTGCTGGAAAAGGAGACTGAAAATGATCAAATAAAAAAGTCACAACAGCACATCCAAATATGAGTGAAGGCAGTGATCTGTTACAGACGCTGAAAAAGTGCATCTTTTTCCCCAACACCCACAGCTGGGCTGGGCTCCAAGAACCTAACTTAAGATGGTTCAGACACTCATTTGGGCATGGAGGCCAAAGAGATGATTCAATGGTTAAGAGCACTGGCTGCTCTTGCAGAGGATGGGGCTTAGTTTCCAGTATCTACATGGCAGCTCGTAATCACTGTAATTCCAATACTAAGGGGAACTGACACTCACTTCTGGCTTTTGAGGGCCCTTGAAGACAAGGTGCATATAGACTCATGCAGGCACACACATATATTTAAAACAAACAAACAAAAAATGTAAATAAACCTTAAAAACAAAACAGCAAAAGATCTTGGGAGTGTTGGTCTTGATTCAAGAGGGATGATGACAGAAAAAATTTAATACTCAGTATAAAATCAGAATTAGAATGGCAGTGACTGGTGGAGGGAAGGATTCATTAGACTAGAATGATGAAAACATTTAAGCAGACAAAATATTTGTTAAGCCCATTACTATGCCTAAGTTCTGCTACACCAAGACATGGCTTTGGAATTCTATGCATTTCAACAACCAGGCAGCTATGTATTACTTTTCTATTGCTGTGACAGAATACCATGACAAGGCAACTTACAGAAGAATGGGATTATTTGGCTTATACCACCAGAGGGAAAGAGTCCATCATAGAGGGAAGCACCGCAGCAAACAGTAGGAGTGGCAGGCAGCAGGAACTGGGTGCTAAGAGCGCACATCTTCTTTGTAAAAACTGTTAATTTTAATTTCAATTATGTGTTTGTGTTGTGGGTTTGTGCATGTCAGTTGGAGTTGCTTGAGGAGAAGAGGAAGGGCCTGATGTGAACACTTGGAACTGAACTCAGGTCCTCTCCAAGAATAGAATGTGCTCTGAACTTCTGAGTCACCTCTCCAGCCTCACGTCTTGAACTGTAAGCAGTAAGCTGAGAGCAACAGTAAATGTTGGGAGTCTTTTAAATCCTCAAAGCTGGCCTCCACATATGCTTCCTCCAACAAAGCCACACCTCCAAAACACCCCCAACAGGCACTCTCCCATGGGGACCAAGTGCTTAAATATATGTACCTGTGGAGGGTTTTCTTATCCAAACCACCATGATAGCATTAATTTCTTAGAGATGACAATGAAATGAAGATGATTATGATCCTTGCTTTTAGCTACTTAAAAATTTCATTTTACTTTTTTAACTAAAGATTTATTTACTTAATTTTATGTTTATGTATATGTTTGTATATCTGTACCATGTTTATGCTGGTACCTGTGGAGGCCAGAAGAGGGTATTGGATTCCCTTGAGCTACTAGTTACAGGTAATCGTGAGCTGTCCAATGCACATTCTGGGAATTGAACTCAGGCCCTTTGGAAGAGCAGCAAGCACTCTCTGGGCCATCTCTTCAGCCCTCCAGTTTATCCTTTTTAGTACCTTAGTGTGGATACAGCTGAAGACCATTTCATGATCCTGATACTCCTGCCTCCACCTCAAGTAATGGGACTACAGGTATGAACCACCAAACTGTCTGGTACTGCCCTTTCTGAAGAGTCTAAGGCAGATATTTAGAAAGCATCTTTCTATTTGGGCTCATTTGATTAGTTCCTGATGGATGATCTCTTATTGTTGGTAAGAGAACTATGAGGTAATCCCTTCCTTCCTTTCCTCCCTCCCTCTCCAGGGAATCACCTCAGGAAGCAAATGATGGTTTTACTCTTATTACTGATGACAAATTTTATGACTTGAATAACGAGTACCTGCCAGATTTTATTATAAATAAATGTATTTCTGTTAATTAATAAGCAATCTGTTGAGTATTACTTTTTGATCTTGTGAATAGTCAGAGCCTCAAAAAGCTTTTACTCAATGCTCTCAGCACCCACTGATGAAGTAATTACTATAATGACATCTACCAAACTGTTATTTTCCACTCTCCTGAAGCGATTCTGTTCTCAGAGCCATTTACAATATTTCATCTTCCCCACCCTCATGAAAACACACAACGAAGCCTGTGCTGTGCACTTCTAATTACAGCTCCTCAGGAGGCTGAGGCAAGAGGCTAGCAAGTTCAAGGGAAGCTTGGTTAACTCAACAAGATATTGTCTCAAGATAAATAAAAATAAGGAGGGTTAAGGTGTGACTCAGTTGGTAGAGTGCTTGCCTAGTATGTGCAAAGCCCAGGGTTTGATCTCCAGAACCACACAAGATCAGGCATGATGGTTCATGTTTGTAACCCCGATACTCATCAGACAGAAGGGCCAGAAGTCCAAGGTCATCCTCAGCTACACAGCAATTATGAAGCCAGCCTGGACACACAAGACTGTCTCCAAAAGCAATAGTAAAAGAGCTAAAAAGAAGCTGGGTATGGTGGATCGTGTTTATAGTCTCAGCATTGGGGAAGCTGAGGCAGAAGGTTACACTGAGTTCCCAGATAGCCTGAGCCAGAGGAAGATTGTGTCTCAAAAACATCAATAAATAAACCGTAAGTAAATTTAAAGATCTGCGACATAGCTCAGTGGCAGCGGAAAGTGTAGCATGTGTAATACTTTAGTTTAATTCCCAGGACCACAAAAGCTACTACAATTAATGGCCACAAAGTTGCTGGGCCATCTGTCTTTCTGAAAAATAGAGCACCTGACCACCAGATAGTCTATATACCAGTGAGAAAAAAAGAATTATGCCTACAATAAAATCAACTTTGAGGTGCCAAATTAGGAATCTTGGAACTACCTTCCTTTTGGGCTTTGGGATCAGAGTTCTAAGATTCAAATCTGAGCAAGCTGTATAACCCTTCTGAAATATCAGTTTCTCT